AAAACTGGGGTATCATGCCAGGTGTTAGTATAGCACTAAAGAGCCCACATTGTCAAGAAAAAGACTTTTCCCAGCCTCAGTGGGGTTTGGATTAGGCCTCACACTGTGAGGGCAGAGTTAGCCTTTTCACCAGGAACACAAGTCTGGTAGCCCTCTCCTCACATCCAGAGTCAGCCATGGAAGAGGTTTTTAATCCCAAGGATTAAGGGAGCCTTGTGCAGCAGCAACCTCCCAGGCTGCGGGAGGAAACCTCAAAAGCTTCTGAATGCAGCATGCCACAGGAAAGAAGCAAGGGCCTCACCAAAGCCTGAGGACCTGGCAAGGAAACCTGAAGTATTTTTTTTAATGCTTCTTTTGAAAAAGCGTGTCTATTCTTAGCATCTTTTCAACCTGTTCTAGTGTGGAAATCTGTTCCTACTGCTCCTAATTTCTGTGGTGTACCTGTACATACAAAGAAGTGAGCTGGCACTGGCAGTCCTCTCTGGGAGTGTCCTTGTTTCACTACTTAGAAGATTCCAGGTTTACAGCTAATTGTGGGTAAAAAAAAGCTTTGGTAGGTGGAGCAACACAAGATGTGTCCTCACTTCCTGGCACTTTTGAGGACAGACACATGGCCAGCCAGGCTGTGTCACTGCTCACCGAGTGGTTCGACATGGTGGGGTGATGAACAGTAACAGACACTCTCCAGAGTCATTGGGGAGAAACGGGACTAACGATATCAGGTTACTTCCCACAGGAAGGGCTTACAATGAAGAACAAGGTGTTTATCTGACATGAATGGTTGGGAGATTACATCATTGGACTTATACTGCACCCACACACTAACACCTGCTACACCCAAAGTGATCCCTCTTTAGCATCTGCTTTTCTGATGTGGATGCATTGTTCTGGCTGAGCTAACTTGAAATGATTTAGGGAAGCATCCTGAGCATTGCTGAGCAGAGATAGCACCACACACGGATACAAAGGCATTGTTGAAACAAACTCTACATGGGATGTTCTGCCAAATGGTTCCCTTCCCTTCCTCTTCTCATTTCCTTGTTCTCCTTCAGTCACTGGAGAATGCTAATCCCTTTAGAGGTTCATGTGTAAACTGGTGACTTTCCAGACCTGCTACAAAAATGACTTTTCTGGAAAGAGGCAGCAATGGAAGATGGAAATTTCTTTCCTGGATGATGACTTGGTGGCAGTTGGATTTGTCCCCTTGGACCTGAGGATTTTAGTATTCCTATGCTTGGATTGACAGAGGCAGAATATGGACAGCCCTGCATTGACAGCTGTAAACAAAAAGGAAAATACTACCATTACTTTAATTCTTCCTTTTTATTGAAAATTTGTTTTCGGTGTTTTTGACCAGCTTTAGAAACAACACATTTGCAATGTCTTGCTCATCCAAAGCAGCAAGTTTCTGACATTTTGTTCACAACACACAGAAAAAAGCAGACACGTAACTATATCTGAAGGGAGAAAAGCATTTTCCATAGCTAGTCATCACAGTTTGTGAAAGAAAAAAAAAAACATTGGTATACAAAGATGTGGGATTTATATAGGCCTTCATGATTTCAAGGCTCATGGAAATGAACCACCCATTTTACAGACGTGGAAAGAGGAATAGTTTTCTCACTGCTGAATCAATTGAGTGCTTTCTCAGCTTTTATAGAAGAACTAATCTTGGACTTCAGATGATAAGCTATCATTCTTGCCCCCTGCAATCTAATGTTTAAAGCATGTGTCCCCTGATGTGAAACCAGGTGCCACATTTCAGGCACCTATGAAGAATACAGTGCCTCAGCAGGGGAGTCAAATCAGCTAAGTACCAAACTGCTAATTGAGTATGGAGACACCTACAGACAGCACATTCATTCCTGGTTCCAAAAATTTCTTAGAATGAAATATGTGGGAATAAAATCTAGGCACTAGGAACTTGAGTCAGGACTTCCTTGCCTTGCAGGCACATTGGCTGAAATCCTTTTCTTCACCCTTTCTTTCCAGCCAAGAATGGTTCTCTCTGCCTTTTCAAGCCATTGGTTAGCCATGGGAGAGTCTATGCCTTCCCCCCCCCCAGCCCTCTCTGGAGACACTTGGCAGGGTAAGCAGGGATCATTACATTTCCTGACGTGGCTGGGTATTGCAGAGCAAGGTGCAAGAGTAACATAGCCAGGGATGGCTCTGAAGGCTTACAGGGGAGGCCTGGGTTCTTGTCCCTGGACCAAAAACTATTTCTCTGCTTTACCTAATAATGTGTTTAGTGTAGTGAGGTTGCTGTGGCTTTAAAAGAGTAGTAATATCATGGTGCTTTTAGGAGATATGGTCACAGACTTGTCTTGTACAACTCTAGGAGTCCTTCCAGTCCCCCAACCCAGCTGCTGACACAGGGAAAGCAGCAGCATCCTTAGAACACCTGCTGCCAGCATTTTCATGCAGTCTTTCTCCACAGATTTGGTTCCTTCCCTGTCTTCCCTCTCCCATTCATTCCCCCAGGGTACTCCCTACTTCCCATTCCTTCCCTTCCCCTCCAGTTCCTCCCCCTCCCTTTTTCATCCCTCGCTTTTGTGCCCATCCATTTTCTATTTGCATACCTCCCCTCCACTTTCACAAGGAGTGAAGCTCTGCTCCTGTCAAAGAGCAGCCTCTTTGACCAAGGAACAATGTTGGAAGCAGAGTCTCCCAAGCCAACTCAGAGCTGCTCTAAATGCTCCTAATATTGTCCCCCATGTGCATGTCACTACAGCTCTTCTTAATTCTGGCACTCCCAAGGTCCTTGGTAGAGCCTTGCTGTGTATTACACAGAGCAACTGTTCTGATGACAACCACTCTTGAGCTCAGCTGTGCTTACAACATGGGGTCAAAGTGACTTTCCACTGTTAATCCCTTAAGTGGTAGTGGTGGTAAGTGATTGGTGCTTGCCTTCTGTATCCACAGGGTCAGAATACCTCTATTTTGGTCATATTGGGTTTGTGTGGCAAGGTTTTGGTAGTGGGAGAGGTTACAGGGGTGGCTTCTGTAAGAAGCTGCTGGAAGCTTCCCCTGTGTCTGACAGAGCCAATGCCAGACGGCTCTAAGATGGACCCGCCGCCAGCCAAGGCCAAGCCCATCAGTGATAGTGGTAGCGCCTCTGTGATAAAATTTTTAAGAAGGAAAAAAAGTTGCTGGGACCCAGGAACGGCAGCCGCAGAGAGAGCGAGAACATGTAAGAGAAACAACCCTGCAGACACCAAGGTCAGTGAAGAAGGAAGGGGAGGAGATGCTCCAGGCGCCGGAGCAGAGATTCCCCTACAGCCCGTGGGGAAGACCATGGTGAGGCAGGCTGTCCCCCTGCAGCCCGTCGAGGTCCACGGTGGAGCAGATATCCACCTGCAGCCTGTGGAGGACCCCACGCCAGAGCAGGCGGGTGCCTGAAGGGGACTGTGACCCCATGAGAAGCCCGCACTGGAGCAGGCTCCTGGCAGGACCTGTGGATCTGTGGAGAGAGGACCCCATGGAGCAGGTTTTCTGGCAGGACTTGTGACCCCATGGGTGACCCACGCTGGAGCAGTGTGCTCCTGAAAGACTGCACGCCATGGAAGGGACCCATGCTGGAGCAGTTTGTGAAGAACTGCAGCCCATGGGAAGGACCCACATTGGAGATGTTCGTGAAGGACTGTGTACTGTGGGAAGGAACCCCACGCTGGAGCAGGGGAAGAGTGTGATGAGTCCTGCCCCTGAGGAGGATGAAGCGGCAGAAATAACGTGTGATGAACTGATCATAAACCCCACTCCCCGTCCCCCTGCACTACTGGCGGTGGGTAGGTAGAGAATCCAGGAGTGAAGTTGTGCCTGGGAAGAAGGGAGGGGTAGAGGGAAGGTGTTTTGAGATTTGGGTTTATTTCTCACTACCCTACTCTGGGTGATGGGCAATAAATTATTTTTCCCAAAGTTGAGTCTGTTTTGCCCGTGGTGGTAATTGGTTGAGTGATTTCTCCCTGTCTTTATCTTGACCCACAAGCCCTTTGTTATATTTTCTCTCCTCTGTCCAGCTGAGGCGGGGGGCGGGTGGGGTGTGCAGATAGAACAGCACCTGTCATCCAGCCAGGGTTAACCCACCACATGGTATAGCAAGGGGCAGAAGCATAGTTCTCACACTTGCCAAAAAAAAAAAAAAAACCAAGCATGTCAAAGTAAGGGCTGTTTTTAAAAGGGCATGAAACTTGAAAACCACAAACTGCAGGTGACCAGCCACTGCTCTTGTGATAGGGATATCTGCTGGCACATAGTCATTCTTTGATGTGCGATTTTTGCATTTCTCAAAAAGAAAGGCCAGGGGGCAGGGGGAGTCTTACCCCATCTTTTCCAGAATCCAAATAAAAGGCTGCAGCCTTCACTTAACAGATATACAGCAGATTGCTTCATCAAAAGGAAACTAGGGTCTTTTGCATGAGTTTGAGAATTTTATTAAAACCATAGGCTTCCATTCTGTACAAAACTGAGGAGCTTTCTTTTAAAAAAAAAAAAGTATTAACCACATAGGAAATAATGCAGTGTAAGTGGTTTGTTGACAAAAATCTCTCTGAAAGCTATATACAGGATTAATACTACACAACTGTATTAATGTAGAGTCTGTCAGCAATTTTAGCAATATATACAAACTACACACATAAATATCTTATTTACAGCTAATAAATAACATCCAAAGCTAAATCATGTGTCCTCATGTACAAGAACCTTCACTATTTTGTATCCAAGTTCTGTATGTGTTTGTATTTGATCCTGTATTAAGAGCACACCTGTTCAGACAGTTTATCTCCAGAGAACTTAACCCTTAAGAGAAAACTGCAATAAAATGTGAAGTCTACAGGGAATAAATCATTATATTTATTTTTAGAGGTCTCAGATGCAGTGGCTCAATATTCACCCTCAGTGACTCATCATATCTCTGCTGTAGTTTAAGGGTTAGGAAATCAAATGTGAGCAATTTCAGAGTTATTAATATTCCAACATATTGCACTGTTTAAGACTTTTATCCCCAAATATACTAGCAGCCATGGCTGGAGAAAAAAAAAACAACCCAAAAACAAAAACTGTGCACATAAACACATACATGTTGGTTTTGCCTTCAAGATGGGATGATATTGGTGAAATCACCACCTCCACAGTCTTGCATATGCAGGAAGACTACAAAAACCAGCATCAATAACTCACATTACACTTCTCCAAGTCCCTACCTTCAAGCCCTTCTGCCTCCCCAGTATTTTGTTTATCTTCTAGAAAGCTAAGAGAGGGCTAACTGAACCTTTCAGAGCACTAGAAAAATTACACGTTACTTAAAAAAGGGGAAGCAGAATCCCTTTATTTTTGGCAACTTGCAGCATGTCTAATTCAAGTGTTTTTCAGAGTATTCATTCTTGTTCATCACACAGTCAGGCTCTTTTTAACTGTCACAGCTCCTGCTCCTTGCCAAATTCCACCTCAAGTCAGAAAACCAAGCAGCTACTAGGATCTACGGCTGTATCACAGCCAAGCAACAAACCAAGGTGGGTCACTGGCAGTCATAATTCCAGTACAGGGAAGCATGAGCATGCTTGTCACCTGTCAAAGTAGCTTCACTTGCACTGAAGACTGCATACAGCAGCCACTCAGCTGCATGACTGACATTTGGTGTCAAAGAGCAGAGAAACTGTCAGAGTTTTGGCATATGGAATGCAAGCAAGTCGGGGCGGGGGGGAACCCACACAAATCTGTTTCCTGCAGTTTCTAGTAGCTCAATTCCTTTGTAGTTCCTTATTCACACAGTGTTGGAGGCCAGATGGTTTCATTTTCAAGGAATGAAAGCACACATGAAAAATTCAATGTCTGCACAGGACACTGGTATTGCTGTCTTCTCCTACAACTGCTATTTATTCCAGGGTAAGCTGCATAGAAGTATATAGCTTAACAGATCATACCTATTGCTAAGCAGCACTGGCATCTACCCCCAGTAAAACACATTCATAACCACAAACTAGAAAATTCATCCCCATATTAAGTCAGTCCCTGACACCTTTTAGTAATACACACAGCAAAGGTGTTCTTTCACGTGAGAAACCTACTCATTTGCTAAACACACACTTGAAGACAATGAACTCTAGTTACTGAGCTGTCTGAAAATTCAGCCAAGCCAGAAGAAAACCTGTCCAGCTTCAGAATACTCCTAAAAAGGAAGAAAAGCCAGGTACAGGGCTTTGCTTCTTTTCAATAAATACTAGAAAATTGCTATAGAGGATTTGATGTCGAGAAACCTTGTCACAAGGCACCATGATTAAGCAAAATTACTTATTCCTTCCCAGCACTCAAGCCTTTGGCAAGTTGTTTTGCAGGTTTCTTTTTGTTTTTAATTATTTGGGTAATGTATCTTTATGGTTAGTAACTTTGTATGCTGACACTTCCTTACAAGATAGCTAGAAATAGCAGGCAAAAAGCCAGCAGTGGATAAATATTTCTATATATTTGGTTCTGAACATCCAGTCCGCAGGGATGAACAGACTCTCCTCCTCCCCAGTGTGGAAAATCTTCATTCTTGTCACTTATGCAGATTCATCAGCAGAATTTTCTTTAGAGGCTTTCTTGGCACTGTGGCAGGGTGGGGGAAGACAGATAAGGTGAGGAGGAGAAGGTAAGATACTTGTTCTTTTTGTCTTATTCTTGAGACTTAAGATTAAAAAAATACTATTTAACAGGAAAATAAGTTACATGCTTGGGCTTTTCCTGGCTGCTGCTTGATTTTACACGTCAGATACACACACAGAGCTCTCAAGGCCTCCCCAGGTCATTGCCTTGGAGTGAAGGTCAGCACATGTGCCTTTTTATGCAGAACTAGATCTCAGTATAGAAGTGTCCCCATGAGACCTTTCACACACAGCAATTACACTGAAATAAATATAACCACTTTTCCAGCTCAAACTTTAGTGGATAAAGTCCAAATAAAGCTGGCCCCACATTTGAAAGTTTACTCTGGGTCAGAAAAATTATTGATCAAAAAATGAAAGTGCACCAAGGGCTATTAAACACAAAGACTCAATCTCCGATCGAAATCAAGAGATGCAAATCTCAGGAAGTCACTCACGGTACAGTTGCCAGCAGAAAGCAGTGTGCCAGGGAGAGCACCTGCAGATGCCTGCTCAGTTTCTGTACCAGCCTCTGAATCTGCTGCTGGCCAGTGAGGAGGGAGGGCTCTGGGCTAACTCAGTAGGGATGTTTGGATGTTCTTCAATTAAGGGTAAATGCAGGGTATCTTTAGATAGAGGCATGCTTTCCTCTCTGTGTCAGTGCCTTGTCTGTAAACTCTCTCTAACAGTCATTTATACTTGGCCACCATGAGAACACGAGAAGCACTGAGTTGTACTTGCTTTTCAGACATGCTAACAACCACACAAGGAGATGGTTAGCAGAGAACCAAATTAGGGGTTTTGAAGCTGCCAAGGCTGCCATAAGCAAACCTCAGGTTAGTCTGAGTTGTGATGCTTCTGATGCCTTGAGCAGCCTAGTACACAAGCCAACTAAATCAGGAAGTTTTATTAGATCCTCCTGCTACCACTCAAGTTTCCCCCAACCCAGAAACAATAGTGATCACTCATACCCTCCTCTCTTCCTGTTGACGGGCTCATCTGCACATTTCACAAATATTGCTGCCTCTTCTCCCTTACTTAGATGCGAGGTGCCATCTCGAGAACAGAACACCACCCTGTGGAATAAATATTGGACAATCACATGACTGAGCCAGATGCCTCTTTTTAACCATAGGAACAGGACTGGTGCTTGGAAGCAGTCTTTATACTTTGTCATGTGGGGCACTACTACTCTACAAGCCTGTGAGAAAGTGATTTTTAAAAGACAATTGTGTGACAAAAGAAACATTGTGCAAAAAAAACCTGGCAAGTCCATTATGCATGGAGCTCAAACTGTAGCCATAACTTTTGCTGGTCCTTTACATAAAGTCTTCTGGTGGCTAAGAGACCACAAGCTCTATCTCAAAGTCTCTTGGATCTTTATTTACACCAGTCCTTGTATGACTTTTTGTCAGGTGAATTATCTTGGAAGAAAGCCTTACTCCCTCAAATGCTTGCAAACAAAGTAGGTTGCCAATTCCAGCAAACCTGAGCAGTTGCTTTTCTATTTATCAGTACTTTCCCCACCCCTATATTTGTTCAGCTCTGATGACTGTTCTTTGATCAAGTGACTGCCTTGTTTATTCAAAGGAGGAACATATACACAATACTGTATATAGGACATGTGTACTATGTTCTGGGTCCATTTTCTGCTAACAGATCTCATGTCTAGTGAATATACGTATTTTAAAAGATTGTCAAAGCAGTTCTGTTCAGACTTTGCTGTTTTAACATTCAGGCATTAGCAACATCCTGCAACATTTCATTTTTCACCCACCCACCATTCAGGTATTCAACTCCTAAGAAAATCCAGCTTAACAAAGCAATGATTTCTTGTGCAAATGCACTTTTGGAACGGTTTCTAAAAATCTCTGTCTAAGCATGCTCTTTGCAAGAAAGCTTATGCAAATGTCCAGCGAGAGAAAGGAGGAGAGGAACTGCAAATACAGTCAGAGATGTTGGTTCATGGAGATCCTCTCCTGGATGTTATAACTAACCTGATGCACACAAGACAGTGGTATGCAAATGCATTATGTGGGAGTGAAACTACAGACTGCAGATCCCAGTGGAAGCAAACAACTGAACCTAGCTGACATAAAAGCCAGTTTGGTGCCATGAGCCCTGATTATCAGTGCTGCACCCGTTTGTAACTTCTATCCATGTTTTGTCCTGCCCTGCGAGATACCAGGGATCCGGAAACACTGTCAATTAAAACTAATTTAGCTTATAACAATCAAAACAAGTTACTTTTTCTGAGTTTCTCCTGACTTCACTCTGACTCTCTGGATGTCAAATGTAAAAGGAGTCCACCAGTCTGACCAGCTGAAGAAGCTGTCTTTTTCCCACTGCAGCTTCAGCATAAGCAGGTCACCGATATCCACTTCTGTGTAAATCAGGAAGGAGAAGGTCTTGTTTGAGGAGACTTCAGGCCTGTGGGGAGGGGAATAAGGGAAAAAAAAAAAAAAAAAAGAACTGTTGGACAGATAAAGAAAATTAAGGGGAAACAGAACCAGGACTTTATGTACTTCAGAGAAGAAGGAAGCAACCTTTTCCATAGTTCTGATGGACGGAATAAGGAAAAAACACCTTAAGCTTTTGTAAAGGCACCAGAAAAAGCTACCTCCAGCAAGGCTGGTAAAATCCTGGGACAGACTGCCAGGCAAGGGGTGTCTTCTGCAGTGCTGGTGGCTCTCAGAGAAGCCAGACAAGCACCAGCCAGGAACAGCTTAGGTTCCTTGGAGCAGTAAACAGACTTTGGCGCTTTCCAGCCCCATACCCTGCCAGTCCATGTGCAGGGATGTAAGCACAGACTTCTGCTTATTTGCAGAGCTGTGGAAGCAAATCCCATGTCTCCCTCAGCTTCTGCACTGAGGCCCTGAGGCCCTCAGACCCATCAAACAGTTAACTTCAGGTTGCAGTCTGCTTTTAAGGAGTTTTAACACAGGTGGAACACGGCATCAAGATACTGAAAAGAGAAGAAAACAAAAAAAACTGCCACACCAGAAAAATTGTTATTAGACTGAGCCACAGGTCAGACTTCACATTTCCATATTTCAGATCTCTTATCAAGAAGAACTCCTATAGAGCTTAGATCATTAGCTTCAGCAGTGGATGCATCCCCTTGATCAAGGACAAGAGCAGATTCTGGGACCCTGTAGCTGGAGCTAGAACAAGTTTTTTCAGCTGGGACTTTAACAGATTTAGGTAGACCCAACAGTACATTGCAGTTGTTTCTGTAGCTACTCACAGTGTGAAAGCAATGTCCTCACTCTCCTCTAGAGTGCCATAGAAAGAGATCAGGAATGGCTGGTTTGTCTTGGTCATATTAGTCTTTCCAAAGAAATGGATCTTGACCTGGTAATGGAAGACTGGAAGAACACAAAAGAAAAGGCCATTAGGAAAAAACTCAACCTCCAAAGAGACTGCTGGTGACAAAACCACCCAATAATCCCCATGCAAATCCTAGGCTGGAATATGCCAGTATCACTAAACCAAGGAGTTTAGTTCCCTGCAGGTATCCAGGGAACTATTTTTGTGAGGAGGTAAAGATTAGGATGCCAGGGAATAATGATGAAAACACACCTTTGCAGTTCTGGCAACTAAACTCTGCATTGAAGTTGACTGCCACCATAAAAAAACCCCAGAGTCTGCAGTATTGCCTTCAAACCTGTTATAAATCTGTAAGACTTGCTGTCCTTGAGTTGAAACAAGTAAGTTGTGCCCTCCTCACAGAGGAGCCTCGGCGAAAAAAAATTCAAACCCACTGACATTGCAGATTAAGCAACAAATACAAGAAAAACACCAGTTTTACAGCTGTTCTAACACTGCAGGAATGTGCCCTCTGATTGCTGGTCCATCACAAAATGCACACAATGAGCATACCATGTGGTACAGTCAAAGCTAGAAAGGGGAAAAAAATAAAGTGGTAAAACTCAACTCAGAAGCTATTTCCCTACCTGAAAGCCTTCCAGTTCTTTCTGGCAGTGTCCTTCTCAGATCTACCAATGTGACAATGGGACTCAAAAAGTGCTGCAATATTTTAACAAGGGCTGGTGCTCCTCTGGCAAAGGCACTATGAAAGGCACAAGTCCGATGGTTGCACATCTTTAAAGAAGCTGTGCATCAGGCTGAGCTCTGCTGATTATTTTCCCAGCAGTAGGAAAAATTCATTTGGATGAAAAATACTGAAAAATTTTGGAAGACCCAGTTGTTCTAAGTGACTGGGCCACAGACTAAGTCATCTTAATTTTGCTACTTAGAAACTTGTTACAAAATACGTGCCTTTGTTTTCTGCCCACCACCTCCACAACTTGAGTATGATGATACTGTTTTTCTGACACTGCAGTTTAGTTTGGGTTTAACGGCAAACCGCAGGCAAGCTTCACCCCTGCTTACCAAGGCACCAAAGCAGCAATACTGTCACCTGCAGCACGCACCCACTCTGACACACAGCTGAGCAAAAGTACCAGTCTTGCTCACCAGTAAGCAGGCAGGACCTACCTTTATAGGGCATCTGAGCACGGGTCTTCAAGTACATTTTGGTGTTTCTCTTCGTTCTCACCCTGTTGACCTTGTAACCCAAATTGTTGCAGCGGTTCTTCCGGCAGCTCAGGCAGAGACCCTTCTCAAAGGCCTCCTTTGTGTTGCAGCGGTAGGCCATGCTGGGCTTTTCTTCATAGAGGAGGGAGTCAATGAAGAGGTGGATGGATCGTTCATGGGAGCATTTTACCAACTGATCCACATCTTGAAAGAACAAAAATGTTTAATATGTATACATACATGCATATAATGATATAAACCCCTAAGCAGTGCTGTCAACAGGCACCATCTCCTACACCACAGCTAGGCTTTACAGGGTGACTTTTAAAAACACTTAAAAGAACAAGTTCCTGTGCCTCTCAAAGAGATCTTTGCTTGCAGGAAACCTGCAGGCTATTGAAGGTCACCCTTTGGATGTGATACTGTTTGTTTCGGAGCAGCCTCACCTGCAAAGCCTTTTTCAGCAATCAGACGGAGTGCTTCTCCCAAGTTGCAACCCGGCTGGAAACCTCCACCATTAGGATAAATATCAATGTGTCCAACAGGCTTCTGGATCCCAATGCTGCGGTCTGGAGAGCCTCGAGTGTAGGTGTGTAGGACATCCACAAAGTCAGCATCATCCGGGGAGAGGCGGGTGAGGGCATCGGCATACTCAAAGGTAGGACCAGCTGGATCCAGCCCTTTATGGGGCAAACCACAAAGAAAAACTGAGATTATTGTCTGCCAAGGACACTGACAGTGATAACAAATGCCAAACTCAGCTACCACATTGGGCTGGAGTATTGCATATGGTGCTGGTGTCACTGCAAACATTACACTGGGATCATTTAAGTAGCATTCATGTATATAGGAGAATCAAGTACACTACCTTGAAATGCTGTCACTGTTTAAAAAAATAAGGTGTATGTAAACATATGTAAAGAAGCCCAGATAGCTTCCTCAAGCCTGTAGCATTTCCAGTGTATGGAAGAAACAAGCTAGTAAATGTTTTCTCAATGTCTTCCTCTCTTGTCAAGAATTGTAAAATTTCTATCTGAACTGTCCTAACTCCCTGTTGGGGGAACAAATGGGAAACATAAATGAAAACTTCACTGTCTACATGCCTAAGAGGGATTATAACGGTGAACTGTCAAGCTGCAGCAACACTGACATCAAAAACACCCAGAACTATTCTGCCAGTGAACAAGTACTATCTCTTGAATCCAGACAACTACTTGAGAGATGGCTTGAAGGCAGAGCTGAAGGGACATGTCTTTTCTGCAGCCCACACCTGGGGACAGGTACCTGGGCTGCCCACCCCTGGTTAGCCTCACCTGGTCTGAGCTGCCTCCCCCTCTGCTGTGAGGACTTCAGGGACCACAGCCCATTGCTCCCTGTGCTCAAAGGTGATGCTGCTTTCCCAGACAGGTTCATCCTGGGCACCGAGGGCAACCATGGGGGCATAACTGGTATTTGACTGATTTGGCAGCCTCAGTGAAAGCAACATAGCTGCAGCTCAGAGAAAGGAAGGGTAGACGGACTAGTGCTTTGGCCTCCTCATTTTAATCTGCCGCCTCTCAGGAGTCAGCCTGTCCTGATGGAACTGCTGCCTAGCCTGCCCACCCCCAGCATGCCTGTGGATCTGAGACCACAGCCAGGCTCAGGTGAAAGGGCAAAGGGTGCCAGGAGGAAGGGATCTAGGCTCCCATTTGAATGCCGCTCACAAGCTCTCTCAGCAGCAAGGGCACCACAGATGAGTGATTTTCTTAGCCTCATTTGCTCATGTTGGCATCTCCTTTGTCACCAAGATCAGTGGTAGGGGCTCAGCTCTCCAGGTGCTGGGCTGTAAATCAGCCCCACCATGGCTGTGCACTCTGCCTTGTCTAGCACACTTCTCAGCCTCCAAAAATCACCCTAAGCAGACATCTAGGCATGCACAGGAACAGGGCACACATATGTATACTTCCCTCCTGTCCTGGTTTCAGCTGGGATAGAGTTAACTGTCTTCCTAGTAGCTGGTACAGTGCTATGTTTTGAGTTCAGTATGCGAAGAATGTTGATAACACTGATGTTTTCAGTTGTTGCTCAGTAGTGTTTAGACTATAGTCAAGGGTTTTTCAGCTTCTCATGCCCAGCCAGCGAGAAGACTGGAGGGGCACAAGAAGTTGGCACAGGACACAGCCAGGGCAGCTGACCCAAACTGGCCAACGGGTATTCCATACCATGGGACATCACATCTAGTATAAGAACTGGGAAGTGGGGGCAGGGGATCGCCGCTTGGGGACTAACTGGGTGTCGATCAGTGGGTAGTGAGCAATTGCCCTGCACATCAATTGTACATTCCAATCCTTTTATTACTACTGTTGTCATTTTATTAGTGTTATCATTATTAGCTTCTTCTTCTCTGTTCTATTAAACCGTTCTTATCTCAACCTGGAAGTTTTACTTTTTTTCCCCAACTTTCTCCCCCATCCCAGTGGATGGGGGGGAGTGAGTGAGCGGCTGCATGGTGCTTAGTTGCTGGCTGGGGTTAAACCACAACACCTCCCCTTCCAAAAACTCTCCCAGTATTATTTTCAGCCTAGAATATTACTTGAGCCCATTAAAATTAATTTTTTTTTAGTAACCCACAGTGGATCTCTTCTGATTATCTGTCCAGTCTCCCTTTGAGCCTGTATAAACTTGCATCCACAGCATCCCATGGCAAAGAGCTCTGCAGGACACCCACTGCAGGACGATCTATCTCCTTTTCTTTTTGAACAGCTCCCAGCAGCTGCAAGGGATGACCACCTAGATGAAGACAACCAGCTGAAGTTCTCATGCTGCAAGAGATACGGTGACCTTCTCCAAGCCATGGATCTGGCCAGTCTTGATCACATCCCCCCAGTTCATCTCTTTTCATGTTCAATGACTCCCTGCCTACTCACTTGTGCAGAAGCAGATCAAGGCTTCTCACCCACCACCTTTGCTGTTCTTTTCTGAACCTTCTCCAGTCCTACTACAGAAATATCAGCCCTGCTGATTCAATAAAGCATGAACACATAACCTAAGTACTGCCAACAAGCAACAGTTATTCTGGTGATTTTCCAGAGGAACATAATAATTCACTATGGAAGAGACAGGACTCTCCACTCTACAACCACAGGTTTTCTTACCAGTAATTCGGTTCACCTTCTTCTTGGTCAGGCTCCCAGCAATTCCAGCAGCATGAGCACCTAGACTGTACCCCAGCAAGTGGACATTGTTGAGAGGATAATTGAATTGCTCCTGCAGAAGACAGCGATTTGTTTAAAGTTTGAACTCAAATGGGAAAACATCAGAAGACACAAGGGACAACGTTTTGTAAACACTGGGATTTCTTTGAGCCATGAATAACAGAAGAACACTAAGTACAATTAACATAATTTTGTGCCATACTAGGTTGCTTGAGTTAACTAATTTAAGGCAAAAATCTAAGCAGAGAGGAATGCAGAATGAAGGACAGAACACAGGGCTGTGTATTATATCAAAGGTTTTCACCTACCTCCTCCCCACCAGTTTCTGGATCTCCTAAGTATTCCCCAAAGGCAGGGCAGACTTCTGTTTCCCAAAGGCTGGCTGCTGTATAATATATAGGAACCTGTCTTTCATAGCTATGTCTCACAGAGCCTTCAGAAATACTGTGGACTCACATGGCTTCAGAGACCACAAGGTGAAGTTTCTGGAATGCACTATAAAAGGCCTTCTTGTGTAAAGGATAACCATTAAAGCTGGGATTCTACCAGTGCAGCAAAAGTACTGTCTGCAACAGCTTAACTCCATCTACTGAACAGGAGATGATCAACACAGCTGCATAATTGCTGTTTTGTTTCCTAGGACATTACGTACAATGTGAGACTTGAGACTACATGTCTTACCTCCATCCAGTCAATAAACATAGCAACGTCCTTTCCCACCAGCTTAGTGTATGCAGCAGACACTGGGTAGTGTTGCTGAGCTCGAATTAGCCAGTCCACCACAATGACATTTGAATCGGGTTCCCTCTTGTACAGAGCATCCACCAGCTTCGGGACCCAACTTTCATACATTCCTGTCACCTGTTGGGTTGGGTTTTTTTAATTAAAAAAAAGGAGATATCTTAATATCATCTGTGGTGTATAGACACCTCAGCTGACGTATCTAGCACAGTTTATCAGGAGTGTGGTTAAAAGGGAGATTCCTCCCCTTTCTTCTTACCGTCCACCCATGGATCACCACAAAGGTTTTACTGGTATGGTTGAAGTTGCACTGTGCCAGGCTGTCCACCTGCCCAGGAACCAGGTAACAGACATCCTCATCAGGCTCTGCAGGCGTCCGTAAGGAAAACTTGCTCTCAATTCCCTCAAAATTGGTCTCAGCTTCTGCCATGCAAGAGCACAGGAAACATTCAGTAGTGTTTTAGGAGTATTAGGACAAATAGTTCACAAGTCACAGGTACAATATTGGAGAGATATCAGGAACAGTCAAGAATTGGAACACATGTTTTTCATTTCTTACAATGTTCCTTTTGCACCACAACAGCCATGTAAAGAGGAAATCAAAGGGTGAAAATTGCTCCCCCTCCAAGGTCCTGCTAAAACACTGAGGATCTGGCCAGCTGTCAGAGAGGTATGAATTCCTTTTAGGAGCCAGTATTTTCCCCATTACATTATTAACAGGAAACCTGTGAATTACCACAGCAGTGCAGAGAACTACACAGGACAGTCATAGACAGTACATGCAGGAAAACAGCAAGCTCCTACCATACTGTTACATATTTTGGTGGTTCATCTTCCACATCACTCCATCAGTAATCACTGCCTATCAAGGCTCTTTATAGCACCCAGTAGTTGCAGTGCATTAAAAATAAGAGCTGCAGAGTCACCACTGGTTTACAAAATCCTAGTTTTAACATTTTACCAACAAAGTAGCAAGAAGATCAGACACCCATTAAAGAAACCGAACTAGCAAAGCAGAAGCCTGTATTTTGAAGGCAGTACTTTTTCAGATAATCTGGCAGGCAACGCCACAGGAAAAAACTTTCCTCTGCCTTAAGCTATTTTGAAGGTGGGAGGGGGGTGGTGGGGGTGAGGAGGGGGGTGAAGATCATGTACTGGTGGTAACAAAGCATGTGATGGCCTGAAAAGATCACTTCCTAGAGAACTCCCTCCAGCTTCCAGCTTCAAAACATAAGTTTTCCTTTTGTTCCTACAAAGCAGAGAAGTGACTTTAGGCTTCATGCTCACTACTTCCTTTGTCTGGGAAGAAACTTAAATGCCTCCTCTTTTTACATCTGATTCAACACTTAAGTACCTCTATATCCAGCAGACCCTGTAATTAACTGTGGACTTAAACTCCAATGCGTTTTGAAAACCAGGCCCTACTTTGGCAACTCACATTTAGCAAATATTGATTGCCTGTTTTCCAAGTGAAGCTGCTCAAGGCCAACTCTGTCATGCTCAGTGTTGTGTTTCCTGGCAGCATGACCACCAAGCTTTCACAGACTCCTGAACACACATTAATGAATGGCTCCAAGCCACCACAGGTAATGCAAAGGGACACAGTGAGGACCTCAAGCTGGACACGCAAAACAGATTTCCAGTCCCCTTCCTTTTCCCATTGCAGAAGAGGTCTTCTATGATACCTGGTAGACTTGTATTTCTCCATAAAGTTGAGCTGCATCATCCAGAGGTGATGAATAATGAATGATTTTTTTTTTTCCTAAAACTTAGTTTTTCTGGTCTTCCCATTCAAGCTACCATACACAGCAGGGCATTGACTCATGCCCAGCCTCACTCAGCCCTCAGGTAGCTGGATGAAGTCTGGGAGGTTCCTGCTGTGCTTGGAGGGCCACAGAAATCAGAAATTAAAAGCCTCTTGCATGAGGTGTAAAACTAGCACACAGGCTAGCAACAAATGCTCATGTACAAGCCTCAGAGAAACTGCCATCATCCGCAATCAACGCCTTAACATTGCCCGAGTTCATCAGGACTTCTCACCTGCCAAAAGCAAAGCACATGCAGGGAAGTAACAACTGTTCACTGAACAGAGGCAGTGCTCAGCTTTAGGTTTTGACCTTGACTGTGCTAGGCTGGCTCGCTAATCCAGGATAATTACACTGAGGGCGCCCTTCTTCCCTCTTTCCCCCTAATGAAGGGATAAAGTTTATGAAAAACACCTTTCTCCAAGCCAGTAGGTATTCACATAATGGTGAATATAAGACTCTACCTACTGAAAGCAAAATTTACCAAACTAACCAAATGCTGATCCTTCTCAGAAGTTGCCCCTTTTTTGTATTTTTGCACATTCAAAACTTAATTTTCTCACCAACTGAGAGAGTACAAAAGCTCCTCCTGAAAGAAATCTTTAGACTTACACTATTTACTTTTTAACCAGAAAAAGGAAAGACCCAAAGGCTGATTGGTTAAATATCAACCATAATTTTGCACTCAGCAGTGAATCAGTAAAACCTTGAAAGGATTAAGAACAGCTTTCAACTGTAAGGCATACAATGCAAGGACTTTCAATTATGCATATTCCTGCCCAGCACAGGAAGGCGAACAAGAATAGTCCACCAGCTCACTAGGTAATAGTGCTTCCTTCCATACTTAGATATGATTTCCCTTCTGAATTAAATCTATCTGATAATAATCCAAAATCTAAATTAAATTGATATCCTGTCCTGCAGTGTTTTCAATTACAAACACATGCTAGAATCTGCATATAAGTTCAGACTGCATCTCTTTTGGAAACAAGCTTGTAACAAACTAAATTTACACTGCAAAGTGCACCATACTTAAAGGTGCACCAAACTTAGGACTGCAGTACAGTGGCACCTACCACTGAAGATGTGCAAAGTGCTTCACAAATATTTGTGTGCTTCCACCTAAAAAAATCTGAGTGGGATTTCGGGACACAGGAACACTGAGGTGCAGTTACCACCAGGAAAGCAGCAGCTGCAAAGCAACAGCCTATGAGTTAGGGAAATGGCAGAAGGCCACTTTGCTCATTTAGCTATGTTGTATGAGGAATTAGAAAGTCAGAGGAAATTGTCAGCATCTTTTATGCTCACAAAAGGTGTCACATTGTCCAATATCCACATATGCTCAGTTCCCAGCAGCAAGATACCTCTGGATGAGGGAAGCGTGTGTGGTGGGGTTTGTTACAGACTTCTCAATGATGTGCTCATTAAGAAGCTATTCTCAATATTTGCCTGAGTTAGGCTTTCCAAATTCTATATGGCTCAGAGCATTAAGATAACTTGTCTGCACCTCATGTTGTGCCACACGTATTGCTGGAGTATTACCTCACCTCCCACCTCCTGCAGATTAAATTTCAGAAATACAGTACAAAGGTACATAATAGTACTGACACATATACCGACATCTGTATGTACCATGCTTTAAAACTGCAGCAGAAAAGCTATAAAGCATATCACTTCAGAAAACTAGCATTTCCCACTTCTACTTCTGTATCTCATGAAGTATCTTGGTCTATTTAAAAAAAATGATTCAGAACCAAACTTTGTCATACAGAGACTTTTGTCACAGACCTTTTCCTCATAGATTTAAAGTGAGAAGTCTCCTTGAATCATGTCCTAACTGAGCTAGTCAAACAGTTGGGTCTCATTCTTACAGCCTTACACAACGCCAAAGAAATGCAGAGACAGTCAATGTACACACTCACCACTGGTTAGTTAATGATATGTTTTAACCCAAATTAATCCAGGGAAAACCCAGAAATGGGGAGTCTTCAGCATGTTTCTGAAAGGTGGATAGAAATTTACCTGAATTTGCATCAGGTTTTACATAACATAGGTATAGAAATTAGATATAAAGAAATTTATGTGCATCCATACTGAGGCACTAAAGTAGGTTTGAGTGACAAGAATGCAAGTCCATTTCTAAACAAGGCCTTGAAGAGAAGCAGGCCTGGAGGTAAAAATGTGTAGACAAAACAAATCCATGCTTTTGCTAAAATTCACACTTTCCCAGGCTTAGTTCAGCAGCAGTATAAAGGCATGTGCTCTGTATTGCAAAAGCTTCCAGGGGCCCAGTTGCAAATACAAGCCCCTGTTACAAAATAAAGTTTTCTGGCCACTGCTATGTGCTTACAGTTAACAAGGTGACCTACAAAGGGATTATTTAGGGAACTGGAAAAGGGAGCGGAATTAAGAATTAAGCCACCAATTTCAGACCCAAATTGGCTTTTCTAATAGCCCACAGGCTACATTGCCAAAATCCATCATTTTATGCTCTGCAAACTTTCTGATGCTTTTCTTATACCTCCACTTACATAATCTCAGTTTTCATACTTTAAAAAAGCTGTCCCATATGTCAAGGTATAGAGAATATCATACAACTCAGAAGAAAGTGGGGGAAAAAAAAAAGGCTGAGAAACTGGAAAAAGTCAGAAGCTTCATTTTCCTGTTTAAACCTTGTGACAACTTTCAATTTGCGATTTGTGAAACTCCATTCAGTTAGGGACTCCTATCAATTTTGAAAGCATCCCACTGACTTTAAGCATTCTGACAGAGTCCAAGTAAGAGTTTACACACTAATCAAGAGAATTGAGCTTCAAGTTTCCTTCATGAGAAGCCCAAGTCAACCAATTTTGATGAAGAAAACAGTTTATCAGTGATCAGCTGGGTGGACAATGTGAGTTTTGAGGAAGTAACACCATCTGGAATATTAATCAAAAGTTAAGCTGCCCGCATCAGACACAGGATGCCAAATATAACAATGCATTTGCCAGAATCACTGCACCTGAACTATGGTTTTAAAAAGGGAGTCTGATAAACAACAATTTCCTAGCTTTATGGACACAGACATGGAAATACTATTAGCTAGGTGCAAAGATCATTAGAAATTACATTGCTAGACTGTGTAAACTCAAGCCCACACAGACATACACACATGCACAGCAGAAAACATCTGCACATAACTCCAGCTGGTTATGTAAATTTTGATGTTAACTGGAGTAACTCCTCTCTCAGCTGATAACCAGCATTAGGATCATCCATCAATTAGTCATACTGAATTCCTAAATGAGTTCTGAAGCAAACTCATGGTCAGCTGTAATTACAGAAATTGTTATTGTTCAATTTGATCTACACTATAAACTGAAAGCAGACTACTGTGTGTTGCAATCCAACGAAATCTACCCCACAAGTCAGGTTATTTAACTTTGCTGTAAAGAAATTACAACTTCAAGGTTATTTAAGTCTTCCTTAATGGCAGAGCCCTGAGAGTACCTTCTCCTTTACTTCCCATGTAGGGTCAATGGAAAGAGCAACACCTAGATGCTGAGCAGGGACCTCCCAGCTCAAGTCCTGCAGCTGGCAAAACAAGGGCAAACTGCTGTTCTCACACATGGATGCTCGCCCCTCTCCAAGGCACTCCCTGTCAAATAGATCCTTACTCAGCTGCAGCTGGGAGGCTTGTAACTCAATCCAGCAGAGCTCTTGCCGTCCATCAGTCCCTCCGGGATATCTGGAGTTAGCCCAAGACAATAAAATGCAATCACTGTCAGGCTTTGCAGTAATATGGAGGAAAGGATGCATGAGAAAGCCATACCATGCAAGTACTTCCTGCACAGAAGAGATTCCAGCAGACTTTTAGGAATGCCAGCGCTCATGCTATTCTCCAGCACTCTTTTGATGCCTGACAGCCTCACCACTATGCCTTCTCAGAAATACATTGTTTCTGGAAAGGTCATGCCACAGCTGCCCTGGCAGGTCCATCCCAAACACAGCCACAGCAAAAGCCAGCAGCTCGCATCACACAACAGCGTGAATCTGCTATAACCCCCAACTCTGGATTTACACTGGTAAAAATAGAGGCCAGAATGTCTTCCTAGTAATGTTTTTATCCTGTCCTGGAACACCAATGTTATCTTCACCTCAAATATCTTTTTCTAGGTTGCTTATTAAATACTCTGGATTCCTGGAGGGCTGGATCATGTATTTTCCATGGTTTCAAAACATCTTTTTACCATGGTGTGCAAGAAATAGCGTGGGACTGAAGGCTTGTACATCTTTAGGATGATCACACAACCTGTTTTCATATAACCTGTTCCTAAGGAGAAATAATGTAATCATTAGTAAGTCTGTGGCAAATCAGTTCCTACAGGGATGAAGGCTAGCTCTGGGAAGATAGTTATTTTACTGTATGAAACTTGCATACTGTGATGAAAACTGCTCTTGGTTGCCTCTGATGGCACAAGATTGGATTCAAAGCGAGAATACATTCCTTTGGCTGTACCCTAGCACCCTATCCTCTTACTTTTGAATACTTCCCTTCAGCTTCCTTGTGCACAAAGGAAATAACAAAGGCATCCTCGGTGAAAAAAGCAGCTGTTTCCATATTCCATTTCAGTATCACACAGTAGCTCTGAGAGCTACAGCCACATTTTCTTCTAAGGCTGTGGCCTCTTCAAGGTAGGCATTATATGTGGAAGATTAATGTAAGAAATTAAGACTGTGACAGGGCACTGCTAACTTAAGTTTGAGGAATAGTGGTCTCCTAAAGCTAGTTTCTTTGCTCATTAAAACTGCAATCATGTTGCAATTAACCAAGAGAGCATTAGTGAACATCCAGCACTCTACATTTTCCCATGTTTCACTTCCTCTAGCCTGGAGGGTGCCTACGCACAAATGCATGTACAACTTAAATAAATATATATGAGAGTATATCCCTCTGTTCACTTTTTCCCTAACGGATTCTGCTGCGCTAAAGACATTAACTACAAACCAAGCACATTATCATGACACTGATGAAACTCAGCCTTGTCCTAGACAATTCAGATCAAGAGCCATAGGAAGTTGGGATGCAGGGCTCCCATGGGATAGGCGAGTCCCGTGCACAACGGAGAGCTCTGGCCCTCTGGAGACGAGGGACCCAACCGTGGTGCTACCGCTGTGCCGATCCGGCTCCAGCAAGGGACTCCTGGAAGCCACCTTGCTCCTGGGGAAAGAACAGATCCCAAACCTTCACAGGCCGTGCCATCAGCCCGGCAGGTTGTGCCCACGCTCCGGGCAGGGAGCTGGCTCCGGGTCTGCCCTAACTGGACGTGGGTCCCGCCGGCATCGCTCTCCAGCGCCTTCCGAGGCCACCCCACCCCACCCGGGTCCCGCAGCATCCCCGACACCCCGGAGAGCCCTTGCAAATCTAACTTGCAAACTCCCCTTTCCCGCCATGCCGGCAGCATTTCCCCAACACCCCCTCCCCCTCCCCCCGCCCCCTCCCCTCCCCAAATCCAGCAGGCATGCCCGGCACCTCCCCTG